CGTGTGCTCTTCCGATCCTCTTCAGTCTTTTGTAAAATATTACATACGTGTCGCTTCACCTTCGTGTGTTACATACATAATTGTCAGATGCTGTGTCTAATTATCATAGCGAATAATTAGACACAGCATTTGACAATTACATATGTATGTAATATATGAAGGTGAAGGGACATGTACTTAATACGTAATATTTTATAAAAGACCAATGAATTTTATTATTAAAACACATCTCAATACACATAATAACTGTCAAAATATGTAATGACAGCCGCTCAATGAAGTAAGCATAGTGAGATAGGAACGCGGCAACAAATAATTTTTCGAAATGCGAGTTACCGACTTAACATGTCTTTTTTAGATAGAAAAAAAATCAACGGTAACGCAGAAAGATTCCAAGTGCTTTCTGTTTTTCAGCTTCAACAATTGAGGCTTATACTCGCACTGAAGGCGTACCGAGATTTGGGAATGAACTACTATCACGTGTACAATACCAAAGACATTCAGGTCTCTGGCAAAGTGCAAAAGAACATCGTTGGCTACGATAGCGACAGTGTATACGTATTCGGCGACAACAAGAAGAGGCCATTGACCGGAAACACTGACCTCAAAAACAACATGGTCCTCCCTGTGGTTGACGTGTGTGCCGACTTTGCTGTCGCGGTAAGTACGCGGAGAAAAAAAAAAATCGATTAAACATCATATGGAGATAGTTCAATTAATAAAGGCTAATCACTCTAAATATGTAACAAATAAATGAAGAGAAATGAAGAGTAATCGGATTGTTATTATAACATTGTTGCAGTCTGGCGGAGCGGCGTTCAGTTCCAACAACTTGGTGGACGCTAAACCGAATCAGAAGAGGCAATTCGCTCAGGTTATCGCTAGAAAGATCGCCGAGGACATCACGAGTATCGAAATCGAACAGGATTGCGTGTGCAACCAAGTACACGGATTACTTGGACAGTCTCGCTGTAAGATCGTAGGACACAAGGAGAAAGAGCAACTTGCGGTGAGTATTCATACTTTAAATTATAATTAAGGCAATAACCGTTAGCTTGCGAACGTTATTAGCGTGCGAGCGAGTAATGCCAACATAATATGTAAATTTAATCGAGGTAACATCGGTGTTAGAAATGATACGATCTATTTTATTTGTTATTGTAGAGACACACGAAAGGAGGAGTGAAGGGTTGAAGGAGCCACAGTACTACGCATACTATTATTACTAATTAATTTAGATATAATCTATTTGTTACTTTGTTACAATAATCGTAAAAGTCTTTTTGATAGAGATAAGTGATATAATTGCGTCATTCGGTCGGTAATATCGCCGATTTTCCACAGATCAAATAAAATTCAAGACTCAAAAATTGTGCCTCAACGATAAACTTCCTTCGTTTTCTAGATCTAATGTTAAAATTAATGTGAATGCAATAAATTGATGTGCCATTTATCGATGTACAACCAGCGATATTTTACAGAGAGAAATAAACATTGAACACATACCGTTTGTGTGTACTGAAAACTTGTTAGTGCCCTCGTTAGCTCTTCGCGCCCTCCACCAACATTTTCTATGTGTTCCATTCACATCGAGAGAAGAAGCATTGTGATTATTTTATGCATATCTCGCGCGTACAGAGTTCTAGGAAAAACTTTCAATTTCTTCGAAGAATTCACATCTTGACATTTAGATGTTGACCCCGACTTCAAGCGTTAAGAACTTAGTTTCAGATAAGACTTCAACATTCCAAGATGTACTACAATTCTTCATTATAATTCAAGCTTCTGAAATTGATGACGACTTTGTATTTGTAAGTTTCTCAAACTCAAAATGTAACTTCTCTGCCGTAAATTTGTATTATTTCCAATTTTCTGAGAAACTTCCAAAAATATACGTTAGAAAAATAAAAATCTGTACCCTTAATAATTCCATTTTATTTCTTCACTCAAAATTGAAACGATGATCCTATCGATGATTATAAGTTATATTTTACACAGTGCATATATAAGTATACTTTTTATGACGTGCAGAATATTATTTTACTGACATCTTGAATAAAAGATGAACGACCTATTTTTGGAGACAAAAACGAGTTAATGTCTTATAAAAAGAAGTTAAATTGCCTCACGTGAAATTGAATGTACTTCACGTCCGATACACCTGAATGCTTAAGCAGATTATGATACGTAAACGCGATTCGATTGCGTGAAAGCAAAACTAAAAATACGTTGTCAAACTGTAGTTACCAGAACTATAATATGCGTATATATATTTTTTATTAATGCTAAATATAGTGTGCTCCACAACTTATGACTTTGATAGATTTCTCCGATCAATCCAGAATTGATTTATATGCGACGGAAATGTCAAAAGTCACCATCTATCGCGATTTTCGATTTTCTACGTTACACGTTTTCATAACTAAACTTTCAATAAATACGCAAAAAACAACTTCACAAAACAGTTTTTCAAATTAAATAGCCTGCAAACATATTCGGGTATGTTGTAAAACGTTAAAACTAGAAGACATAGCTTTTATCTTTAAACATATCGAAATTTGCAAAATAATAATTAAAGAGTGTATAATTATTTTTAAGAAACTGAATGATTATGAAGTGTATTAAATATCATGAAACTTCTGTTTAAAATATTTTTCCCATTTCATTCAAATTTAAATATATCGAAACTTCCAAGGCTTTTTTAAACTTTTAAATATACGCGAGCGTATATTTAATGTTATTTATTTACATATCAAAACTTCGAAGACTTCTTTATATTTTCAAATGCGTATTTAATAAATTAATATTAAATGCACATTTAAAAGTTTAAAGTATCCTTCAAAGTTACAATATATTTCAAACGAATTGAAATGAACAAATATTTTAAACGAAAGTTTCATAATATTTAACATGCGTTTTACAACCATTAAGTTTCTTAAGTGCTACACTCTTTTATATATTATCATTATCTTTACAAATTTCGATATTTTTAAAAATAAACATGACTTTATGTATTATTAAAATATTTTACCTTTTATGCACGTATGACAATGTTATTCTGCAATCGTGTTTTGCAGAATTAATATGTTACACGTGTCACGCTAATGTTGTGCATGTATTACTTGATAACAGCTTTTTCTGCAACTGCAAGATAACACTTTCCTGCATGCTTCTGTATCTTTTTAAGATACATGTCATGGTCGAATCTCAAAAGTTTATCTCTTTGAGTCCATCATTATTCGGGATTTCTGACAACGAGCGGAATAAACTAATATTTTTTTCATAACAAGGGCAAATATGTGGTTTTACCAAAATTACGTCAACAAAGTTATATACACAAAAGTTCTTTCTAAAGGGAATCTCCTGATTAAATAATTTTTTCAATAAAAATACTCTATAATCATTGATCTTTAATCTCTTGGAATTCACGAAGATAATGATAGGAAATATATTGAGAAATGTACAGATATCAAACGTCGATAAACCGAAAAAGACAATTATACAATGCAAATAACCGAAACAATTATAAAATGCATTAAATATATACTATAAATTCTTTGTCTAAAATATTTTGTAATTTTTCAATATTTCACAACTTCAACGATCTGTTTGAAATTAGATATGCTCCGTTAGCTTCAAGAATTCGTTCGTTTCAATCTTTAAACGCGCGAGAAAACATTTGTAAAGAAAATACGTGCCTCTTATTGTTAACTATTTTATGTTTGAAACTTCAAAATATATCAATAAAATATTTTCATATATTTTCTTACGAGAGTAAACAGATTTTATCTATTTGCGAAGTTTCCGAACAACTCATCATCAATCATTTATAACTCGAAAAACCATTGATGTCTCGATATTTTTACCGAGGAAGAAATCAACTTCGAATTCATTTGGAGATCTGTCGTTTAAACTCGCGAATTAAACGTCACGTAACGTCCCGTAAGTGGATAGAATCACGCGAACTGAAGCCTAAATCAAGCTACACTTGAACATCCATAACGAACGCCGTTAATAATTTCAAGGAAGCGAACGCAACTTATGTAACAGGCGGCAACACTCAGTTTTACTCGGAAGGGATATTATTATTTCACTTTATAATATCCATCGCAAAGAATATTATTTTAAGAAAATTTAAATTGGACGTGAAAAGATTAGAATCGTCTCCTGTTTATTTTCCAGCTGCTTATTATTCACAGCAAATTTGTTCGCTGGTATTAAATACTGGATTTACGCGATAAGCCCCTCGCGACAGGGTTATTTTTGTGCAACGGTAAAAATACGGGGCGACAGGAATTTTCACTTGAACGACACAAGTCATCGTCGACTTTACGTGCTGAATTATGCGGTGTGCAGCCCGTCGATCTGTTGTACGCGCGTAAGCGCACGCTCCGTGACGTCAAGAGCAAATATGCGAGGCTGGATTTTGCCTGGGCCGTTCCCGAGTATGTACAGCGTTTTTACATAAATTCGGTCTGAGTAATGGCGCGGGAAAGTTTTGACATTTCCTAAGCATCCGCTCTGATGTATTTCTGCGGTCCACCGGTATTATTTTACTAAAAACAGTATGCCTGTTTACGTAATGCGTTTATTATTTGGCGTTGTAAAACAGAGTTGGACACGGGGATAAATCTCGCGATTTCGCCGACGGTTATTTTGCGACGGATACTTACGTAAACCGTGAATTGCGCTTAGGAAAACGGAGAAATAACAGCGAGTCCTCTTTTTTTTCCATTCTGAAATATTTATTAAACTTTATTTTTAAATATATCTTAGCGAGCCATCTATCGTGTGAGTCATAAAAAAGATAAACTGTCCGAAAACTTTATTTTGCAGCGAACATAATGCAACACCTTGTGACAGAGCTTACAAAAATCAACAATTTCGTGGAAGAAAACGAAGGGTGAATGTCTTGAATGGAAGAACCTAAATCGCTTTTCTTCTCTTTTTTTTTGCGACGCACGAACTATACGAATGTCAAAATACTACTCTCGCGATATACCTCAGTCTATACAGTATTAATCTATCTACGTGATAACTATTCTTTTTTTATTCTGGTCTTAAAAGTTGGTCTAGTTGCTTTATTTAAATCATAACTTCGCCAATCGATCGTGGATTCACGAACTACTGTCGCTCTTGATATTATCTGACACGCCGTCGTGAATTCACGATCTAAACGTCCTTTCTCAGATTATACAGATTCAATTAATTTTACGATTCGTGAAATATAGTAAACGCGAGTGATACGCTTTACAAAGCAGACGACCGGTATTTATAGCTTATGCGACTCGCGTACAGTTAACGATATTTTACATAATCATATATATCCTTCTGAATCCAGGTCTGCTGGTGAAATTCGTTTATAAACCACAATATGACCGAACTCAATAACTTTCTCGAATAATATCACAATTTATGCCAGCGGTGATAACAACGCCGAATTTCATTCCTGTCTAGGAGGAAATGTGTTCTTCTAAGAAAATATATTATAACGAAACGCACATATAATACAATCGATAAAGTTGATTGAACGATTAATTTATGGTTTGTATATATAAATATATATATATATATATATATATACGCAGGAAATAATGATTTCGAATACTTAACGTAAGGACGGTAAAGGAATTCTTTGAATATACGGACTCTATAATCGAGTAGCTTAATGATAATTACATCTCATGTCGACACCGAGGAGCCATATTAAATAAGGAATAATTACTATCTCTCGGTATTAATCTGTACGCTTAGAATGATTAACTCTCGCCTGATCGTTGTTGCTTCAAACGAAAGTGAAAGTGACTAGTTTTCCACCGTTTACTACTTGCATTGCACGGAAGTATTAAAATAAAGTCTGACATTTTATGACTTTTGCGGAACGAAATACGCACGGTAACCCAGAAAGAAACTTCGTTGCAAATTCATCATTGATCAGGCCGATGTGGCCGATCGTTTTTTCCTAATGAAAAAATCAGTGACAATTTAATTACACGTCACTTGTTTCTCGATTATTGCCATTTCAGTACCTTGTCTTCCTAACTCGAAAGTTTAGCTTCCGTTAAATTAAATTCTTCTTGAGGTTACGCAAAAAATTCGTTATACCATTTGCATGTATTCCTTGAATTGAGTTTGCCAAGGAACTTCCCGAGATTCGCGCAGTTTCAACTCGGAAATAATATCCCGAGATTGAAACGCCGTTTTTTGCTTTCACAACTTTGTCAACTATCGTCGAGAGAGATGATACACGACTTCTGGGTCACCCTGTATATAGCACGTACCCTGTTTGTGGATATATTACAAAAGCCGCGGCGGGGCAAGGCCGGCGGAAGCGTTACATTTAAATTCATGGAAAACTTTTTCTTAGAAAATTCTCATGCACCCGGGCACTTAGCGATAATTAATTAACCCATTAAATATCGTGAACGTCACGCACGCTTTTTACGACCCGAGGCGCCCCGGACGTCATCTCTAAGCGCGCGATATATGTTTTATCGATTGGATTTCTCTTGTGTACTTACAGCCTTACTATAGCCCGTCATACATCGAAACTGCCCTAGAAGAGAGGAAAAATTAAAAAGTTTAGCATAGCAAAATGTCATCAAGCGCTTCGCAGCTCCGTTCGCGTGAGTAGCCGCCGCCACCGCCGCCACCGCCACCGCCATCGCCGCCGTCGCTTTCTCTGCGAGAAGAAACAAATGTACGAGGAATACGCGGCACTTTCACTTTCCTGTAATAATTATTATGTGGAGTATAAGGATGGTGATGTGACAAGGCGCGATTTATTCAATATCCCGTACATTGTTCCTCTTTCGTTTCTTTTTTTTTTTCTCTTCTGGAGACTTTCTTGCTAAGCAGTCTTGACACTTCAGAGCCAGAACCGCGAACACACATTATGTTCCCCACGTACACACGCATACGCGCACGCATACACATAAGTACACCCACATGCACATATCACGATTACATTTTTATATGTATAAATCACAATCGCAATTTCTTCTCATACACGATTGCACTTAATAGTTACATTTATATATTCATATTTATATTTTTATTTATATATATATTTATATATTTATATATATAGATTGTACGGTGTGAAACCTTCGTATACTCTGTATACGTTCGCACCGTACTCGATAAGCATCAAGGTTCTTTTTCTTTTTGTGTGTTCACAGAGAGTGTAACTTCCAGATCCGGTAAGATTACGGATACTCTTAAACCAAGTACTTTCTACTCTTTTTTTTTTAAGCTTGCTTTAAATAAAAATGTACATACAATTATCCTTGTAATAAATTTGTACCCGCAATAACAAGGTTTCATCGATACACGCTACGATAGAGAGAGAAAGAGAGAGATAGAGAGAAGCTATGTAATAATAAGGGGGCGAAAGGGAAAGAAGGAGAGAAGAGAGAGAAGAAGAAATGCAAAGGGGAGGATCGTCAGTAGTTGCCGCGTTGCTCGCTCCATCCGCATATCGTATATAAATTTCAAATAAACCTCGGTAAGGCAGTGCCAGCACGATGATACACGTAAGGTGGAGGCGGCGGGCCGGAGAAGTGCCTTTGATGCTGATGGGGAAGCGACGACCGGTGGGCAGCCGGCTCGATGGTTCCGCCGCCCGACGGGGAAACGTGCGGTAAGAGGTGCGACGCCCCGTCACCGAGATCCAATTCCAGTTCCTGCTCCTCGATTAAATGCAGAGCGCCGAAGGAGGCCGTCGCCATCGCTACGTCCGGCATCACGCCCGACAGCTGGCCGTCGCTGCAGGAATTGCCCTCTTGCTGCTGCGAACGAAAGAAATCGGAGCCGCGCCGTTTTGCGTAATCCGTTTCTCGAGGAAGCGGCAACAGCAAGCTAATCGAGCGAGTGTAAGCTAACGCGATCGCGGGGCAGCGATACGATTACGACGTAAACGGGAAGAAGGGAAAAAAGATATAGAGAGACGAAGAGACTCGCGCCGCTGCGCAAATGGGGGAAAACGATTCCGTAACCACACGGTCTGCGAGAATCGCCATCGGTTGCACCAAGAGTTCGGATTGTACAAGACCCCGGCCCGGTAATTTGCCCGGTTTCCCAACTAGATTGCAATCCCGTCTCGCGGTCTACCGAGGCTCTAATTAAGAATTATCGGGTCTAAGGCGCGCGCGCGCGCGCGCGCGGGCGCGGGCGCTGTGTGTATATATACGCGAGATTTAGAGTCGCCCGCGAGGTAATACGAATACGCGCGGCAATATACGTAAGCGTGTCGTCCCTTACCTCGGCAAGAAGTCTGCAGCTCTCTCCCTCGGTCACTATAGCTGGAAGTTCGTGTCTATGTGCGTAAGACGAAGTCGGCCGAGGAAATGTCATGTTCCTCCCGTAACACACCGGGGCGGTAGTTCTCACACGAATACCCATGCCCGGCGAGTCAATGTCCTCTATATCTGTCATCCTCTGCTCGTTTTGCTCTTTCATACTGTAAGACGCTGTGTTCTGAAATCGATACGCCGGCAATTTATCGCGCGCTGACCGCTAGATGAAAGATGCATTAAAAGCTCGGAATAATACAGGAGGGGAAAGACCCCGCGATTAAGCGGGGGTAGGAGGGGAGTACGAGAGGGAGGGAGAGGGGGGGGGAGAGAGATGACGGTTTGTGGGACGTCGACGGTATCGCGCCGAGGGATATATTAATCGGAGAGGATCGTCGACGAGGGGGATCGGATAGAGTCGGATAGAGGCTGGGATGGCGTAAATATAGATAGATATAAATGAGCGAGAATTAAAATGAGTCGATTGCGTTGCACGACCGAGGGGGAGGGAGGGTGAGGATTCGATAAAACGAATTCATAGAAATGAATCTATACGCTCGCGGAGTGTCCTCCGGACTCGCTGGGTGAGGGTTGGGGGTTTTCCCCATCTGCCTACCGAAATAGAATGCGAGCCGTGACCTAATTGACGTGTGTCGCACGCGCTTGCCTAGGAAGAGAGACATTAATGCAGCGAACGAGGAGTGATGCCTTGCATACGTTAGCGCGGCCGCTGCAAATTAGCGCGAGCGACGGCGACACGCGCGATTATTTCACGCGCGGTAACCGGCACCTGTTCTCAGGTGTCGGTCTTCCCATTAGGCCTTCCTCTTACCGCACACCTGTGCGCGGCTCGCGAAATTACACGCCTATAAATCTCGCCCGAAGAATGACAAAGCACTCTTTCCGTGCAATTACACGTGACTTTTATTTTTTTTTTTTTCCTTTTCCTCTCTATTGCCGCATTTTCGGCTATCCGACACGCTACCCAGACCACGTGTCTGGATCCGGAAAGTACTAAATTATTTTTTTGTCTTTTACGTTTCTCGCTTCTAAAACACATTTTTACAACCCGGTACGTATTAAATCATTACGTACCGCATGAGTCGTGTCGCATGAATCAAAATAGCGAGCGGTGATATTAAAGCTGTTATACTGCACGAGGGAATCTCCAAACACTTCCGCGATATTATCTAGGATAACGTTTACGTGTTACACAACAGTCTTATCGCAAAATACCAAATTATATTAAATAAAGCTCATAAATAGTGATAGGTACGCTATCGACATATATAGAGTTTACATGAGAATTGTATTGCCAATTAAGAGCAATTAACTTTGGAAACTCGAGAGAATTAACTAATAACGACGCATGCATCGATACTGATAACGACGCATAAAACCGTTTTGCGTTACAATATTTAAATAAAAAAAAAATTTTAATAACTTCTGCTGCAATGTTATTTGCCGCAATTCAATCTCGACCGTGTTAAAATATTTTGTATTCTTCGCGAGAAGAAACAAGTTTAAAGATAAATATTACTTCTAAGATCATAAAGACGTAAGCGAGGCGATAATAAGAACTAATTATGAAACTCGATAAACGATTCACTTAAACGGTGAAATCTATTTTCCTTATAGATCGATTTTGCATGCCTGAGTCACTTGAGAAAAAACAATAAACAACGCGACACGCAAAGTTACAAGAATTGCAAGATGATGAGATTGATCTTTAATCTCGCGTCATCTAACACCTAATGAACGGAATTGTTCCAAGCGAGCCACCAAAGTTCGCCTGGCACATACGTAATGTTGTTTTGACACGTTAGAAACGTTATGTCATCGCACATGACGATAATATGTTCCACTGACAAACACGTACGTGCGACGATATTAACGTGCATGATTTTAAACCGTAAATAATGTCGCGTAAACGTAAAAAAAAAAACTTCATGCGCCACCTGCATTACGAAACATGTCCAATAATTTGTTTGACATTCGGACACCGTTTTTATAAACGGCGAAAATTATATTTTATTTCTCTCTCTCTTCGCGCGCATATATTAAATTCTAAACTACATGTATATCGCATTAAATTCTGAATTTTTTATATAAATGCTACGCTATTTTATTCATTTACCATGTCTGTAATTAAAATAATTTATTATAACGAGAGCAAAGATAAATAATAACGAAGGGAAAAAATACGATAAAAACAAAACTTTCATTCTCTACGCGATATTAAAATGAGGTCTGGCATTATTATGTAACTTCCATTATTCCAGAGACGAATGGAAATAATTTCAGGTATACTCAGATTTGTGTAAATCGCGTTTGCGGGCTCGCATCATTTTACCCGTATAGCATCGATGCCGCAGTGATGCAACATGCCGCACGTATTTGATAATACGTCTCTGCATTTATTCATGCATAATGCTGCACCAGCTACGCTACAGAGATTGCATGCGTTTCATCCGATTGGCGGTAGTCGCAAGTGTCGTTTCATGATTCATCCGCTTGTCACCCTGGTGCGACACCGCGTATATCTATCACCAGTATCACCGTACACAAACCGCGCGCTTAAAGCGGGAACGCGAAAATAAATTATTTTTGGTGAACAGCCGCTCATCGTACACGCCGTTAATAAAAACCCAGCGTGAAAAACTGCGGCATTTTACTACAATAAAAAAGTGTGAAATATTTGTAATACCATATTTCGTTGAGAGAAAAAACAATGCTGTTAATTAAAAATTACATACTAGATAAAAGATTATATTTGTGTTATTATTAATAAATTGTATCGCGAAAGCATATCGACGTGACATTTTATAAACAACAAAAATAAAATAATATATATGAATAAAAAGAAATATATTAATGTAAAACATACTGAGGTATATTTGCAGTCTGTGTATGTTTTTTTATACGTATACGGTCGTCTTATCGTTCGAACGTAGTACTGCTCATAATTTTTGCTAATTTACCCGATATTGAAAGTCAATTGCATCACTGTCGTTCGCATTGCGTAAATACGAATAATGCAATATAAATATGTTGAGTTATATATACTATAAATTAAAAATATTACGCCCACACAAAATTGCGTGCCGATAACGAAAGAGATAATAGAGTTCGAATTTTTGCAAGTCATATACAATTGCGGTCTTTAGTGTCAATTTTGAACATTTATTTTCAATGATTCATGCAACAAATATTTCATTTTATCGCCCCTTGAAATAATTTCAAAATTATGAAATAAAAATTAGAAAAATTAAGAATAGAAATTCTTTTTATAAAGTAGTTTCTACTTTTATAGAAAGTTTTTTACTTTCGTTAATAATATAAAATAAAAAGGAATAGAAAGAAGTCCTAAGTCCTTGACTGATACCGAAGAAAAATTCACAGCATAAATTCATATTAACTTATTTAATTATTTTTGCAGATTAAGCATCATATAGGCTATCGACAATATGACTGTTTACATTGAAAAACCTTGATGTCGCGGCTGTTCGAAAAATCGCAATTTCACGAAGAGGAAGGATTATCTCTCGAGGACTGCATCATTTGCATTTCATTGCATTGAGACAAAATACGCATCTCGTGTCGCGTATCATCTTCAGTTCGCTGGTGCTCGTCTGTACGTGCGCGTAAGTACGTCTAATTCGACGTTGTGTTAGAAGACGCAGATAATGCGAACACAAGCGCAGAAAAAGGGGGAGAATAAGAGGCAAAGTCAAACAGCGACGAGAGTTTACTCGCAACGTTAGTCGCGCGTATTGCGCTGTGTCAAAGTGCTGTGTGAAAACCCACGCGCCGCATAAGGCAGACTTCGCAAAAAAAAAGAGAGAAAAATAAAAACAAGAGCTAGACGTTGTTTAGCAGATTCTAGTTAAGCACGTGTTACCATTTGATCTACGTCACGCTGATGACATCGCATTCTTGAACCGTGTGTCCGATTGCGTCTCGCTCTACATTAGCGTTAAGGTAAATGACGCACTCATTAATAGTAACGTATGCAAAATACGTACCGGTAGATCGAACGCGAGTATTAATATGCGATTACATAACAAAACCTTTTTCTATGTTTGTTTCGGTAAGGTAAGTAAATAAATAACGCACGATTGGCGCGTAAGCTTTCACGCTAGTCGAAAAAAAAAAAACGTCGAATTTAAGACAAACGTGGATTATATAATAACTATTGTATCAACATTGATGTGTCAATCCGTGCAAAAACAGTCATTCTGATTAAACGCGAGAAAATTTTGGCGCGTGTTTTTTTTTTCGCGATTTCGTGACGTGACAAAAGATTTAATTGCCATTCGAAATAAACATCGATACGTGAGACAGCAGTTACATAACAGGCAAAAATCCTAATATTTCTCTTGTTTATCTTGCACTAATAATAGCTCTATAATATCTAAACTACACGATCTACTTGTTCAAGCGACACGAAGGTCAAAGTGATATCGTATAATCAGGGTATTGATATCAAATGAAAATCAAGGACAGACCTAAACTCGAATGATAAGAATTGGCGAGCGGCTAACGCGTGCATGAATAGTGAATGCAGATGTGATTTTAATATGAAACACGTCTTTCAAGCCTCGTCTGCGAACGTGCCTAGCATGTTCGACGTTAAAACTCAATCCTCATCTTACGCTGCTTTGGTCGTTTTTGAGCAAAAGAAAAACACCGCGATAAGCCTTCCTTGTTTTTAGGATCATTGTTTTGGGGACCATTGTTTTAGCTCTTGACAAGCTCTTGCACGTTGAATAGAACAAGAAACATCTTCTACCTTGAAGAGTCTTAATGCCGATTAAATTATTCTGCCGTACATAAATGGTTTAATACACGTCACACGTAGCCTTAGGAGTTTCCTAATAAAGCCACTAATAGCCTGAGATTCTCAAAACTATTGGACACAAGTCGATATATCAATTCTTGCCGCGTGAGATTACACTACAGTCTTAGGCTTTACGAGGAAAATCAGCATATTGTCAACGGTATCGACGCTAATATAATACGCTTCCGAGTTCTCAGCTCTATAAACTACGCTGTATGCGCAGCTGCTGAGTTCGTGTCTGGCATGCAAGTCCTTCTTGCGATTTGAATTAATTCACGACACTCGCTTATTGTTAAGCCACGATTGTGTCATCTCGATCGCGCAGTCATTTATGCACGTAAAATGGCGATGCAATAGTCAAGTCGGTTAATATCAAGAAGAGTAAATAAAGATCGCGAAAAAGTATCGATAAATATTCTTTCTGTCTCGATAATACCTCAATAATTTGACATATTATATTAAATGTACATTTTTTAGGAAAATTGAGTGACAGTTGTTTGCTATTTGAAAAATTACTAAATTGCCTCCAATTATATTAATTCGGGAAATACATAAATATGCATCAGACTTATATTTACAAGTCAAGAATAATATTTAGAGATATCGCGCTCTTCTATTCTGCTTTAATTAAAATTTTAAAAATTTTCATTCAAGCTACTTGAATGTTATAAAGATATTTCTCACACTGAACGTTGAAACAATGTCAATAGAAATTGTGTGCAATGAAATTTTCGCTAGGAACTCCGGATTAGTCAATGAACCCGAAGATGGAAGAAAGTGTGGGAAATCTGGAACAAATCCACGTGCGTAAAGTTAAATAATACTACGCATTCAGCAGAGAGCAAATCAATGTATCTTTCGTGGGATGAGAACCTGGAAGATAATTTAACGAACCGAACAGCTTCCGCATTAGGAACGCATTTGCATACGCGTGGTATAGAAACGTGATTAAGCCTATTGGCGAGAAATAATCATCAACAGCCACAACGCATGATTATGTGATTATTGACCGATTATGACATAATAATGTTCAGAAAAAAGAAGAGACACGCATTACCTCAAGTTTTCCCTGTCTTTTTTCGTCCGTCTCATTCAACTTCCTCGTATATTACGAGTGCCTTCTAGTAACTTATTAATTATTTTTAAATTCATCAGTTTAAAAAGGGATTCATCTATAACAGACTTTTATTCTCTTATTATTTAGTTTCGAATAATAGAACGAAAAGCATGCTACGTAACGATTCCCTGAAAATACATCGAATTGATGGATCCTCGCAAATATAGGGATATAGGTCATGGATATCCCGAGTGATTTTTGATGTTCAAACTTACGGTACCTTCAATATTGGTCAGATATAGATATATAACTGGAAGAGATATAAAATAAAAGGCTGAGTAATATTCCTAATGTAATCATATACGATAATTACAAAATTATTTGAACACTTCTACACGGCGTATTAATCACTTGCGTTTTTACTAATTATTTTTTCTCCTAGTTAGGTAATATTTTTACACACATCGTAATATACCAATACTTTGGAAGATGTTTAGGTTAGTAACGAAAAAAAAGGAATATCCATAAAGTGGAAGTAAATAAGAGATCTTTATTCGCAAACAATTTCCAAAAATAAATTTGTGTTACTGCCAGAAATAAAACGTCACGTAACGTTGCATTCGTAACTGTGTCGTCGCAGTCACGGAGTCATTCGAGCAATTATACAGGGCACTGAAGTAATTGAATGTCTCAATACGACGAACTATAAAAGTCTTGAATGACTATTATCTTTCGACATTTATTCGCTAATCGTCGAAAGGAAAAACGTAAACAACCGAACGTTATCTACGATGATAAGTATCGGAGCCAAGAATTACAGTGACGTGTGCAGATAGCGTGACATTAACAAAATTGCAATTGCAAATTCTAGAAAAGTTCACGCACTTTAGGGGTAATTTAGTCACGGACGAACTCGTTGACATCGTTTCTGCAACATTTATCTTTAACACTCAAAGTTTCTCGTGTCGCGGAGTGCACTATAAATAGGTAATGCACACGCTCTTCGGCCGCGATAGTCGATTAATCTCAGCCAGAAAGGCTCCAATTGAGTTTCTATCGGTTTACTTGCATCCATGTAAGTGCAAAATAACGACGTTCGCGTTCTGCTTTCTGTACTCACACTGATCGTATATCGAGCGCCACGTCATTTATTCGTCGACAAAAATCGAGCCGTTATGATCTGTTTTCCCCGATGTCGTTGCATTTCGCAGTTGCATGTTACGCGCTACAGGCGATAAGGAAAACGATTGGCTTATCTACGAATTGAATTTACATGAACGAGTCATATAGCCGGCGAGGAGCCTACCGACAGTTCTCTCCCTACTATGATATAAAATAGCGACGCTTCACAACGTAATGACAGTTAATGCCGGAACATTTACGCGAGCGAACGTTACGAAGTAAAAAAACGCATATACGTCCTTATCGATAAAACACAAAGCTGACTGTAACCGAGTTAACGATAAGGTGATTTTTGCTTTCGACTGGAGATCGGTGCCACGAGGATATCTACGCGATAACATTTAAAGCTTTATAAAGTTGTAAGTAACTTTGTTACAATTACTTTAGGATCGATAGAATTTATTCGAAAGTTTAAAAGTCTTAGCACACATATATGTTGAAAAATTATAATTGTTCTTAGATGTTCGATTTTTCAATTTGTATAAATAAATAATTCTTCATAGGATCATGTTTCATAACAAATACTCAAAATTACGGTTATTTAGTTGAAATTTTTTTTCTATAAATGTATAATTTTATTATTAAAAATTGAAAGGAGCCATGGTGAAAGAGAAAGTTGCGGTAAAGTATCAAACTTTATATAAAACTTAACTTTATATCAAACGTAACATTATATAAAAACTTGAAAGAGAAGACTGATTATTATTAACCTTTAAACCATCACATCCCAAAAAATTACACTAATCACAATGTCGATCGACAGATCGCTATTATGCTCTCGCTAATTTTATAAGTTATGTACAATAAAAATGTATGTTTTCAGAATATTTGTGATGGGGAAAAAGAAAACTATATTTTAATGTGAGGGTTAACAAAAAAATCTCATATACAATAGAAATAAAATATATTTAAATGGTGACAAATAAGAAAATAGTTGACAAGTAACGTTTCAATAGCGGTCTGTGAAACCGATAGTGATTTAAAGGTTAATTACGATTATTATTAAATTATTAAATTTCAATAAATTGAAATCAAATTCGATGTATTGAAAATTTCTTCTGATACAAATCCACTGCACAACACTAGATTCGGATCGGAATAGCTGTTGTATTATTTCAGTTAATCTTTTGAATATGAATCGTAACAATTCATAATCCGTAACACGTGTCTCTTTCCCGAAATTGTCTAAGCGTTGCTGACGCTGCGTTATGGAAATGTGAAGTCTGCGATTAATGACAGATATTAATTCAAGTATATATATATATATACTTGCAATATGTTTGTATTAATTAAATTACGATTAAACTATTAAACATATAAATCTAATCTTCCTGGATATATATTAGTATCTTCTTATTTTTTCAGTGAATTTTATCAATCCTAAAGCTTGTAGCTATAATTTTATTTTTTTTTTATTACGTGAAAATGTGAAGCAATTTAATTAAAGAGTTTGTTACAGTATTAAAACTTAAAGAATTTTAGTGGATTAAATCGAGATTCACGAAAATAACAGTAGCATGTATCTTAATCTCGTTTTGGTTTAAAAGAAATTTATTTCACAGAGCCCCGAGATACATGACATTGGTGACTTAAACAACATCCAATCTACGTAAAAGAAGACTTAACCCCAGTTTCCAAGAAATCCCGTAGCAAATACGTACAATGTATGTCAATTACCGTATTTTATAACAATTCCACATAATTTATGTAATTAGAGTCACACAAATATACAACTTTAATTTCTCTGATAGTAATTCTAATATAAAATCTCTTTTTTTTTGTTAGGAAAACTCAAACATCGCTCGACATGCTTCCTGTTAAAAATCTGGATGCATTGTTAATGCAAACGTATGGCCCGAATTTTCGAATATACGATGTGGAATGGAGTCATTTAACAGATCCGGGAGAAAATTTTGGTAGTATAATACTGGCCGTTAATATCAACGCCGAGAATGATAAGCAGCGAACTCTAAATGTGGTTGTCAAATTGCCGCCGAAATCGGCGTATTTGATAGAATTGTTCGACAGCCCGGCATCGTTTAAGAAGGAACTGGAATTTTACAGCATGGTGGCACCGGAATTTCTAAAGTTGCAAAACGAAAGCGGGATCTCTCGGGAGGCCCTAAGCGTCATCGTGCCGCAATATTTAGGTGGCAGATTAGGTTTACGAGATCCGCAGTGTTTCGACGAGCATGCTGCCATCGTTTTAGAAAATCTGAAGAGTCACAATTACATAACGCAAGACCGCATCGTAGGTCTGGACAAGGTGCACATGGATTTCGCGATCAGCCATTTAGCCAAGCTGCATGCTATAACGATCGGTCTGAAGCTCAAGAAACCCGAATTCTTCAAGAAAACGGTGCTACCCGTTTTGGAGTTCGACGTAAATGAGGCCGCGATAAAAGGGACGACAGATATGATACAGAAGGCGCACAACGATTATAAAAGTATAAGGGAAGCGGAAGGTTATCTGGACAGAATCGAGAAGACAATCGAATATGGATTTGCATACAACGTAACGCCGGAAGAACCGTGGGCGACGCTGGTGCACAACGATTTCTGGGTGAATAACATGATGTTCCAGTACGACGAGTCAGACAAGCCGATCAATATGAAAATTGTGGACTTCCAATTGACGGTCTACAACTACGGTGTGAACGATCTTATATTTTTCCTTGTATCGAGTGCCCAGAAGGAAGTGCTCGATAATTATCTCGACGATATGATCGACTTTTATTACGACTCCTTCATAGAGAGCTTGAAGTCGCTAAGTGTAGACACAAAGGCATTTCCCAAAGGTCAATTTATGGAGCAATTGAATAAATGCGCGCCCGTCAAATTTAATCAGTGCATCATGATGGTGCAAGTAATACAAGCGGCGCGTGGTACTGTTTCGGAAACGGCGAATGAATCGGCTAACGAATGCGTTTTCGCAGGTGGGATCGATGATGATAATTACAAGCAAAAAATGTTGCACGTCTTGTCTACATTTGATCGAAAGGGATGGCTCGTGAATTGATTACGTAAACCTTTATCCGTAACAAATCAATCCTTTGGAAAAAAAGAGAAGAATCTTTGTTGGAAAAAAGATTCTTCTCATTTCTTTATATGTATAAATAATTACTACAAAGAAAATATTGATAGGTAGCTTTACCGATAGGATCGTTAAAATTTTATGTGAACATGACAAAAGTTCTCAGACAATATTAGATAATATCAAATGAAGACAATATTAGATAATATTATATAATAAGAACCAAAGTTAATGAAGGATAATTAATTTTATTAAATCAATAATTGTTAAATAAGACGAATGAATCAATTCTGAGCAGAATCGTAAGGTTCGTAACTTGTAAGACTTTCTCGTAAGACTTGTAAGAACTAATGATTAGAATAATATATTCTGTGCTGTAAGACGTATACTTCATAAATATGATTTCTCGTAAATCTTACGGCTAGCAAAAAGCTATAAAAATGATATTGCACAAAGTTATAAGCATTCAGTCATAAATTCTTACAAGTCTTACGAGAACAAGTCTTAAATTCTGCTTAGAATTGGCCCATAAATCTTATGAAATACTAACAATATGAAATTTATCTGTCACAACGTGACTGGTATTTTTAAAGACATTTTTAAAGACATTTTTAAATATTATTTAATAATATAAATTTTATAATTTTTAAACCATATTTTTAAAGACATAACAAACAAGTAGTTTTTAGTGTAAATAGTACACACACAATGTACGTAGGCTCTTAATTTAATTTTCTAACATGAGAACGTTATCAACGTTTATATTTCTCGTGTTTGTAAAAATATTTATATTCTTAATAATAATAAGTTCCATATGCATCACTTACGAAACAAAGTAGAGAAATTAATGATTTTTGTGTAAATATTGTAAATTACAAAGCAATGTTTTATGAGTACAAACATGACTATCAATAAATAAAATTTATAATATGTACAATGAAACAATCATTATCTATCTATTTTTATAATTTGCTCTGTCAGAGAATAATTTTCTGTAGAACGTATTTAACTTCATACAAATGAATTTAAATTCTTCTTGAAGATATTTCAGCATGTTATGCTGATGTAACGTTTTCTAGCGTTTTATGGCACTCATTCGCGACAATATTTAAATCGCGCGCACGAGAACGGCACTCGAGATTAATAAAAGAAACGTTACATTACGGTTTAATCATCTCAGAAATCTCTTACGGTTTCATATATTCATCTGTTTTCGTATTGATTTTTCCTGCTCCCAATTTTAGCCATGCAAATATGCGGAACGTTATTGTGCACGTTTTATTATATATTATTGTTATTGCTACAAACTACTGTAAATTAGTTAGAAGCAAGCGGTAACATAGAAAGTACTTACTTCGAGAAGATCGGCCACGGTATCGGGCAAATTGAACTCTCTGACAACGCGCAGTCGCACTTGCCGATTAATTTCGTGTCGCGAAGAAAGCGGCAAACTTATGGCTCGTTGACAACTGGGCGATTGTTTCAATTTCTGCTCTCGTTTCAGCATTGCGGCCATTGTTGCAGAGTCTGGTACTATAATACAATCAATTAAGTTATGTCTTTTATCCTTACATCAATTATCAGTTATCTAGCCTGTCTATTATTTTTTTCTTTTATCATTCCATTCTATTCGATATAAAAAATATTATTGAAGCATTTGCTTATTATAGTCTGTATTCTTATGTCAAATTGTACAGATATATATATATATATATATATATATATATATATATATA